ATTGGCCAGTAGTTGCAAGGGGTGAGTAGCACGGTGAATCTACTTGTGATCTGGCGCCTTCAGCTAGGTTGTGTCCAGTACAACTAATGAGATGAGCAATAATGCGAGAGACTTACGGGATTATTCATTTTAATTTATTTACCGATAAAAAATTATTTCATTGGCTCCAAAAGGCTAATAAGTGAATTTTTCTAGGTGGTTCATCATTCTGTGAGTTAAGTGCATACTTGTTATTTAAGGTTGGATCACAACAATTCTTAATGATGGTTTTGAGGCCTGGTCGTAGGTAGTAAAGATGTATACGGCACTCGGTTCCTGAAAGGTGAACACAACATCAGAAAGACTCTGAGTCTCATACCTAGGATCGACTCTACAAACATCATCACATAAAGTCATGACGTTTAGAATATTGAGACAGAAGTGGGAATTACTAAGTGGTTACGCACTAAAACAACTTGAAACCCGCCGCCAACGTCATATGCGACACCTGACTCAGTCGTTAACATAAACCAACAGTAGTAGACAAATAGGTGACAATTCACATTTTTCATAGGATTGTTACGATAATAGACAGGAACAGAAATCCCTCAATATTCTATAAATCTACTATTTTTTCATGAACAGTGCCTCATACATTTATTCCTTTTTACCGCCCTTAATATGGCTGCTATCTTTGCCACTTTTCCTGATGACTTCATCTCGCCATAAGAGTAGGGTGTGGTAACTCCGATTGATATTCACATGTGAAAGGTCCGAATTCGCATATGACTGATAATCAGGATGGAGCAGGCATTTATAAAGTATTAATTAATCTCTCAGCAAAACGCATCGCTACAGATGCTTCTTACTCATATCTTGTCATTAAGAAGGTATTGGATCTAATCATATGCCGTTGTCTAGGTAGCGCGATGTGAGGAGAGATTATGAAAATCATTTATATTGCGTTCTGGTCATGCCAGAAGTATTGGGTCGCAACATCTTTAACAAGTTGCACAAAATGTGTTCACAAAGCATTTGGACTACCACTAATTTCATTGCTCAATCATGTGACTAGCATAGTATCAGCATATAGAGTATCTGATCAAAACTCATTCGTGTTTATAGATTACAAAAACATTTCAATTCATTTTGAATTATTCAATTTCGGTCTTAGTTTTTAACCCTGATTGGATAAGGATGTACACATAATTACGAATGCCAACCGTTTTACACGATGGGCAAATGCAGTTCGTGTCAAGGATATTTTTGATGAAACCCTCGCCGATTGATATCAAAAAATGGACTGAGGACTTCTGTTGGTCAGCAGTGATTACAACTGTCTGCCAATGATACACTTTAATAGGGTAAGAAGAACGGTTATTTATATACACTTAAGGGTTGGGGATCCGTTCGTATACAATGAGAAATGTTTCCCGACCTTCTCTGCAGGCTTTGCGAGCTTCTTCCGTACAACCTTGTTCCAATAATTTCAACACTGGGTCTGATTCCTTAAGTATCTGGAAGGATTCTGAATCTTTGATAAAATGAGAATCTTCTTCAAATATATCTGGATAAGAAGATATCTTCAGAAGTTCATTGGCATCTTGTATTTTCCCACCTGCTGGACTGAGATGAACATGACAAACTGGACGGAAAAGTGGATGTGCACATAAACAATCCACAATCCATTTACCAAGATCAGGTACATCAGTGGTCGAATATATTTTCCCCCCAGGAGTTAACAGATAAGCGTATACATCCAATAAAGTAGGAGAAATAATGCGCCATTTATGCTTAACACGTTTAAAATGAGGGTCTGGATATAGAAAGAATATTTTATGTAATTGTTCCTGTGTTTAAAAACAAAAAAGTGACATACTAATGTATCAATCAATCACAATAAACAAATACGAAGATGAGAAGAGTAAAACAAAAGTCATATTATAGACCAGTGTCTTAACAACTTGAAAACTTAGCTTCCAATCACAGGCTTTCGGTTGGAAATCCGTTTCAACTATTTCAGATTATATAATCTAATGGTAATTTTTAGCCCCTTGAGCAAATAAATGTGACTTGAATTTCAATATTCAGTATACTCGAGAAATAGTTAAACACAACACGACTTGGTAATTTTATTGTTTTAAACCTGAATGATTGTTTCTACATATGGGTTAAAAATAATTGAAAATACGTTCTGTGGACTTCGAAACGAAATGCTTAAACAATCGAAGGTGTGATGCTTAACACAAGTTACTTTGTAGTTCTAACAAAATTATGGATTGTTTGAGTGATCAATTAGTAAGTTTACAGAAAACAACTCGAAGTTACCAAGTAATACAGTTGACAATTAGTACCAAATAGACACTAACCTTACAATACTATATTGTTCATAACTGTGGTACTAGACACATGTGTTATATATATATATATAAAGTAATAAAACTTACTTTCTGAAAAAAGTTCGGCAAAAACTTCATCGCATTTGTACGAATACAAGCTATATTATTATACAGACCAGAATGCTTCACACGCAATGCTTTAATTTTTTCCTGTTGGAAAAATAAAAAACCGTGTAAAAAGAATGTTTGGACACAATAATGAGTGTAGATCTAAAATTAACATAAATTATTGTGTTCGTGAAGTAATTTCATAGTACAAGGATATAAAGACGCAACACTTTGGTGATATTCAATTGATTTGTGAATTCAAATCAAGACAGTAAGTGTTTGCGTAAGTGAGGGATGGAATAAGATTTGTTCAGATTCTTGACCACATTGACAACAATTATGTCTACCTAGGTCAATAAATATGGAAAGCAGTTTTATTAAAACAAAATCACTTGAAATTCGGTTAAGATAGCCATTAAACTATCATCAAGTCTCCTTTCATTACATCTCACGTTAAAATGACTTCAAATTTTTGTAGTTGGTTACTAAGTTGAACGATTAATAAATGACGCTTGATATGTGATTTGCCTGATATCAACTATTCTAAAGTTTTACTTTAAAATAACGGTATTATCTTTAGTGCTAATTAATAAATAATTTGAATGTAAACGTACAATGTAATAGGAAAATATTTAGAGAGTTGTTTTACATAAATTAGTTTACTTTTTTTAAAGGAAGTAATCAGTTTGAGTTTAGAATACTCGACAACATGATTATTGCAAGTAGACAACATACGGCTAGCGATCCATAGTTTCAAGTAGAATACTAAGTTCAAAAATTGTACTGTACACACAAGTTGCCGAATAAATAGGCGTTGATAACCTTTGAATCTGTTTCGCAAAACAGTGTGAAAAATGAAACGCCACATTTACACGTAATGCAAGTACATTTCACAAATTGCAACAAGATAGAAAAGCAACATAAATTACAATCAAACGATTAGGTTAGAACTTATGTAAAACCAAATAAAGAACAATATAGAATTAAAAGTTGGTCTGCAGATATAGAACAGTAACCCAATCTACTTTATTCACAACATATAACCAAGTATATAGCAACTTAAAGAGTACATCAACTGTATATCGTCTCAAAAGTGAGCAATTCAACGTCACTCTCATGATATTTATCTATACGATGTAATCATAACACTTTTTTGAAAAACATGGGTCTATTTAACATAGATTTTGTTTTAATCCAAGCTCACTAGTGAAAATAAATATATTATCCACCCTTAATGAATCTAATTAATCTCTACGTAAACGGCAGACTTGAATTTTAGAAATAAAGAAAAGTACCATAGAAATAATCTTGCTTTAAAAGACTCAGGAAAGTTTTAAAAGCATGATATTTAGGTTAAAAGGAAACATGGGTCTGATCATATATATATATAAGAAAAACTAATTTGTTGTTTGATGCAAAATTACGGAGTTCTTTAGTAAGATGTGAAAACTATACATTAAATACTTCATTTACAAATTTTCCATCAATTGTCCTTTACATCTTTCGCGATTCTTCCATTTATCAATTCCTTTATGTCTAACGTAACAAAAACGTATCATGTTCCCTCTGAAAGCTCATCTGACATTTCAATATCTTTAACAATGTCTCAAAAGTTTATTAACTTTATTTTGCAACTAAAAATAAATTCACTTTATATACTATAACACATAAAATCACCATATGTTTATAAATCCCTGGTAAAATCACTTTTCCTAATGACATTTAAGGGAAGCTAAACCAACACACAATGTGTATCTCGTCCCAAAACCGTTTCCACAGAAAATGAATATCCTTTTTTCAAAATATAAATTAACTGGTAACCCACAGTATTTTTTTCTCTTCATTTAAATAATGAACTTGATTGAGAGGAAAACCGGAACTTATAATACATTCTTATCAAAATTGATTACATACATAAATACAGAAACTAATGAAGTTAACTTACTTGAACAAAGTCAAAGACTTTCAAACGTATTTCTAAGCCTACACTTCGGATAAATGGATAAGAAGTAGATAAATTAAACAACAATCCACCATAGCCGCAACCCACATCCAAAAATCGAACAACAGGATCAAAAGAGTTATTGTTCACAGACAATGAAGACACTGGTTCACCTCCAAACAGCTTCTCCCAATCCATCAATTCCGGTTTTAAAGGATAATCAAGTGTGTGGTCTGACCAGGGATTACAATGAGCTCTTTGACGATAATGACGTTTTGAAGGTAAACGGATATTTTCATCAGTAGAACGTTTTTCACAGGAATCAACAGGATCAAGAACCATTGTACACTCAGACATCTGTGAAAATACCCAAAACTGAGAAACTACTTTGAGAATGATAATTAAAAATGAGAATACTTATTTTACGTTAATATTTCTTTTTTTCACGAAAACTAACAGTGTACAAAACTGGTCGAGAATTCAATGACACGTAACAAAAGAGATAAAAACATAGAGAAGTAATAACAAATTTTGTTGGCCAATTAGTGGGAAGATAAAACGCTCAACAGTTTAATAAATCAAATGCTACTGAAAGACCGGATTGATATGATTTTCAAAAATATTGGGCAAATTTATTTCACTATCCATGCAAATACCACAAAACATAAAATAAGAGTTATGAAAGCTTTAATTAATAATCCTCTTTGTGCAGATATTCGCCGCATAAACACTAGTAATTGTGCGTGAGCTTCACTGATATTCATTTCCACATTATCTGTTTGACTATCTATTCGTAAAACTAAATCATTTTGTTCTTGTACTAAAGTAGAAAATTGTTGGTAAATCTCTCCAAGTTGAACAATAGTTGATTCTACCCGTCGGATTGCAGCGTCACGTTGACGAACTTCCTGGTCAATAAGAGATACATGCGGATTACTAGCAAATATTTGAAGTTGTTCCGCTGTTCGATTAGTCGTTTCCGCCTAATAAAGAAATTACAAGAAGGGTGGTCTATTTATAATGAATAGAATATACAATAAAGAAGCTCATACACATAATCAAATGAAAAGTAAACATGTAGAAAGGTGTTTTAAACAACAGTCGTAAACTTACTACAATTAATAAAAATTATGATTGAGATCACGAATCGATAAATGTTAGACCACCATTGAAAACTTGAGAGCACTGAACGGCTGTTTCGTTTTAGTATGAGACTCCTCAGCAGTGCGCATCCATGACCCCACACGCGGGATTCAAACCCAGGGCCTTAGGTCTCGCACGCGAACGCTTAACCTCTAGACTAGTGAACCGACATCGAACGGTGTTAATATTCAAATTCAACCAATCCATGATAAAAATTATACGAACCAACTATTACAGTACTCAGTATATATAATGACAATTGATATGAACAAATGGTGTTACTGAAAGACGAAAGGGATGTGGGATAGTGACAGAATGTAACATTTATTTCACCAGATTAGTAAATGACAAAAATCTAGAAAAAGATGCAGAAAAAATGAATTGGTTATTAGTATCAATTGTTTTCTGAACCTTTTTCATAAGTATCCTATGAAATAAACAAAGTTAGAGACTAAATACCAAATCTGAATTTGATCCTATGTTGCTTTTTGAAACATTCGATTACTGTTTACATAGTTTCCATCAAGTTATAGTGCAAAAACACAACTAACTGAATTATTGTACAAACAATTAAGAAGCTATAATTTGCGTTAACTTGATAACACAAACACGGTATAATAAAATCCCTTATTATCACTGACTGCCAAAACCAGTACTGAGTATTAAATAGAAAGCTGATTAGATTATCAAGATAAGATAAATCCATAATTTTAAAAATGCTTAAAGAAACACTGACTAGTAGGGATAAGGGAAAACTGATAAACTTATTTTATTCTTAAATAACCGTTTCAATTAATCTGGGATATAGAAAAGACAACTTATAGGTTGATAGAGATCCTACGAAAAATACAAATGTTCTTATAAATGGGAAACATAAACAACATACCATGATGCAGGCTGCTTAATGAGAAGATTGAGAAAATATAGAAATATGTTTTGACGTGTCTATATACCACTTTTCACGTCAGGTATTTAGATGAGACCTAATGGTCATAAAACTGTAGTCCAACGGAGTATTTACTAAGTGAATGGTTATACATATTATAATATTCAACTATTTTTCAGTCATAACACATTCGGTATATATATATATATATATATATATATATATATATATATGATCTACTTACCTGAGATGAGTTATAAACCTCAGATCGATTAACTATAGGAGTGCCATTTAATTTTGAGATCGGCATTACAGGTGGTAAACTTGAAGTTGAATATGAGTTAGGTATAGATGCTACAAGTGATATAGCGGAATTCGGAAGATTACTTGAGTATTGTAGATTCTTGTTTCCTTGTAACTGGTCATTTATAGGGTGTGTGTTCGGAATAGAATTATCTGAAGTGGGGTTGATTGGAGAGAGCTTATTAGCTTTCATAATGCTTGAGTATGAAGTACATTCTGCAAATGGATTTTGATCGTTATTCATCTGAATATTAGCATCTAATTTTTTAGAGTCCACCGAAAGGGAGGTTTTATGTTCCTCCAATACAACACGAAACTCAGAGACGAGGAATGAGAGATGATATTCTAATCCGATAACAATAAGATCTATGTGTTTTAGGTGCTGAACACCAGCAGTTGAATGCTCTTTAACTTCAGATATACTGGTTTTTAGTTGAAGTTTGGTTTTGTTTAAATCCATTATATCATATTGTATTACTTCAATCAGTTTACTAAGGACTTCAGGGGATGAATGTGATGGATCTTGAAACAAAATTTTCAATTTAGTCATCTTTGAAACAGTCATTTTTAGTTCTTCAGACATTTGCTTCGACTTAGCTATAAGATTAGCAGTGTAAGTATTATCAGCTGAGTGCAAATATTTAGGGTGAGGGGGCTTGAGGCGTAGACGACCAGAAAGCAGTCGATCATGAAGTGATTGAGTACATGCTCGAAATTCCCCAGTTCTGTCAAAGGCCCCAATCATGGTCCTAAAATACAAATTACAATTTCAAGAAAGTTTATTGGTTACATTGAATGAGTCAAGACAATAATAGTTGCATTAAAAAAGTAAAATAGTGACGAGAAAACTATTTCTCTCAGATTAAGTAACATTGAGTATTATAGACATTGAAATGATCCGCAAAAATGTGATAACATAATCAAAATCATATAATCGACACTTCAAATTGAAGATATTAAATGTCAGCAACTGATATGAACTTAATATATATATATATATATATATATATATATATATATATATATATATATGGGTTGAAAGTTGTGGAGAAAATGTTATATCTATTTATTGCTGCATAAAAGGAAATGAAATTTTAGAGTAATCTTACGTTGTTATTGAAACAATGTATCAGCTCAACACTAACTGAGATTGAAAATAAATTTATTTTATTCTTCAATAACCGTTTTAATTAATCTGGGATATAGAAAAGACAACTTATAGTAATAAACTATTGAAAGCAATCCGAAAATTTGACCAATACTTGGAGGATCGGAATATTTAGCGTTTCAGTGTTATTTGCTGTATGCTGATACAAAACAAGCAGTCAGAGTGCAAATCAGTAGAAATCAATTTTTCCTATTAATGAATATACTAGACAACCTTTGATGCGATGGGTTTAAGTTAGGTTTTAATCCACTGTAAGTAGGAATAATATACATTGCACCTTTTAAATGCGAATCGCTTCTGCATAAATGGCAGGAGCCTGTAGAGCCACTCACTTTTTGTGGTTAAACGTTAGAAGCAATCGAAAAGTTTGTGTACCTGGATAGCTGTGGCAACGTGACCGATGAAATCGATCTACTTCTGATAAGAATTATGCCTATATGGACCCTTTTTTGAACTACCGTGGTAATCTGGGTGTGGAAAGTCAGGTCTACAACGCGTCGACGAGAGCACTTTTCATTTAGGCGTACAAAGCCAGGGCACTCAAAGTTGATGATCTCAAGAAACTTCGTGTCTGATTGGCGTTGTGTTTCCTAAGAATTATTGACGTTCAGTGACAGCTCTGTGTTAATTGAGCTGAGGTTCGGTAATGTGTGCTCGAGGGCAGTGACGATAGTTAACCAGTTTTAAACGCTGGCTCTAGTGGTTTGGAGGAATTTCACACCATCGAATTCCACACTCAGAGATAATTCCCGACTCTGGAACTGGTCGGAAAAAGTGGAAATATGGAATAGAAGTAGTATAGGATTGTCACCTATTGATTTACCACAAATCACTGGTTGGAATCACAGATAGTACAATTTAGTAGCTGATGTTATCAGACATAAAGCAAAACAGAAACCAAAGAGGATGGAGCTATATATATATTACATTATTAGTAAAAGTGAAAGGAATTTATCAAACGGAACGTTTTCTGTTATATACTTCTCTTATTGACCTAAATTTATTCATTCATCTGCTTCTGAGTATACTTCTTTTCCTTTTTCTATTTCTCTATAATTTCATTCTACTAATTACGCGGTATGAATTTATTTTGCTGCCAATTTGTATGAGAATGTGAGCGCATCAAATAACTCACTGGTGAGCTACTGACCTATGAAATAGATATCCTCCAATCATTCACATGTAATGAAGCATAATTTTTCGTGAATCTGTATATAACTCCGTTCTATTATCAGGCGAACTAAAACCCTATTTTCCTGGTTAGTAGTCTGTTATATTAGATCATCTGATAGTTTTGAGTTAACAATCCAGTTTCATGAGATATTCCTTGACCATATCGCATCATTGAACTTCATTTATCGGTTAAAATTCTGTCCATTCCCTTTAAAAATTAAGAACCTGGTTTATCATCAATCTTTCTTACATAACAACTTTTAATGATAGATTAAAATTAAAAGTTTTGGGTGTAACATTATCAAACAAAATAATAACCACCGGTTTAAGGTTATTTGGTATCGGACGAAGTAGATTAGAACAAATTAATTACAACCCCGAAATTCGACTTGAGAGGTAACGAAAGTCATAAATATTAATTAATTAGCCTAAAATTACTTTTATTAGTAAAAATATGTACAGGAAAGTCGTGATGATTAATTTGAAAGACAGAAGTAAAATAAAATTACAATGAAGACCTTAAGAAATAGTTTTCCACAACGGAAATATTTTACAAGACATTTAAATGTTAAGTGAAACCAGTGAATGGACAAAACAGAACATATGGACCAGTCAAGCTGTATTCTAGTGATGGTATATTTAAATTTCATCTAAAGCGATAATAAATAGGGGATTAAAATGTTGAGTAGCTTTATTCCGAGACGGCTTTTAGAGGAAACTATCGCTATTTGGCAAACTATTTTTAGAACTACGTGACATTGGCGAAAAAACAAAGACGCAGTTTAAAAAAACATGTGCAGATTGTTTTCTTGAATGAACTAGTAATGTACTCAACTTGATAGTTTATTTTGGGATATTAAATCGAGGCTAAACAATCGAGAGGGGTTCCAAAGCAGTGAGTATATTTTACAATATCGTAAAATCTGTACACCTACGAGGAATAAGGATTTAAGATCTAAATTAATCAGTCATCCCACAAGTCAGGATGACAAAAACTACTTTTAAAGCTTTTGGGGGAAAAAGACGCCATCCTATAGCTAATGATTATTTTCACTTAGACAGACCACAAAACGATTTACTTCGATGGAATTATCATCAACAAATGCCAACTGATCATTTATAGAAGTGTATAACTTGAAAAAAAAGTGACAGTGAGTAAACTGTCGGCTTGACAACTGGGCACTGATTGTTCCAATAACCGTACTGGTTGTTTTCTAACACAGGTCGAAATCTAATATGGATTTCATGTAGAAAATAATAACTAGTAAAACATGAACAAATCAAACCAGCGAGACAAAACCGATGAGCTTCGAAATCCTACCGAAGCTGTCTTATGTTCTCAAGAGGTCCTTATTGGTTGCCACGTTGCTAATTCCAAAGAAAAACATGTGAATTTGGTTTATTTTAGATAATATTTTAACTAACAAGGACAATAACTGAATATTTTTTTCGATGGCTCTACTGTACCAAAGTAGGAATGTGGTCATGACATTTACATCTGATCTTCGTATATTTTTGAGGTTAAAGTGACTTATTTGGACCCTTCAATGGCGTTAAGACTTCTAAATTTTTATGTATGGGATTTCGAACAAATGAACTGAAGTCAGATTAGTTTGTGTGAAAACATTAACTATGAATAATAATCGTGACAAATCATTCGCACGACTGTTCGCTTTATTCAGTTGTCCACTTTTTGGTTTTCCAAAAAGCTATAGGGTATTTATATTCTCAGGTAAAACAAAACACGTTTGAAATTATTCACATAAGTGCCTGAAAAGCATTAATAAATGTAAGAGTATCAACTGAAGAATCCAATAAGACGTTAAAAATAAATAAGTTGAAGAGAAATCCCTAGGTGATGTTAGCCGACGATACTGGTGAAGACGTTCTATGTACATGAAACGTACACGTGTACCAATCGGGAAAAAGTGAAACGAAAATAGTTCTAGATAATCTGAAAATCTCAAGAATGGTTTATCTGTAAGGACGAATGTGATTATCGAAACACATGGCTAAAAAAATTAGTCAGATATTACCGGTTACAGTCGGGAACCAGTCGAATTGACAAACCCAGTCCCTCGACCTTGACAGATTCAAAAAGAAAGCTCTTCCAACATCCAATGTATTTGTAACGAGCAAGCACACGTCGACTGACTTCCAGCCTTCAGTCTTCAGTAATAAGGATAGTTGGTTGATGAACCTGTGTTAATCCTGAGAGATTTTTTTCCAGTGAATGTCCAGCTTCTTCTTGATTATGTTCACAGATGGTGCTGATACCACTTGTTCTGGTAAAGCGTTCCAGTCACTGACCACTCGATGAGAAAAACGGAGCCCCACCTTTAGTTTATTAGATCGCGGTTTCTAAAACTTCTTACTATGACCTCGGTGATTATTAGTGCTGGAGGGAGCAAAAAGATAAGACATATTAACACCCAGATCATAATTAAAGAAACGAAATGCCAGTATAAGGTCACCTCGAGTCCTACCATAAGATAAGGGGAAAAGGTTTAGACTTTTTAAACGCTTATCGTAAGGGAGTTTAGAAAGACCCTTTACTAATTTTGTCCCTACACGCTGGACGCGCTCAATCGACTTAGTATCCTTTATCAGACAAGGGCTAGCTGATTGGATACAGTATTCTAAGTGTGGCCTTACATAGGTGGGATATAAAATTCGAAACATAACCTCGTCGGAGCATTTAAATGCTCTGCGAAGCGACCATAGTGGTGGTTTTGAAGTCGTGACTTATTATTGCTCCTAAGTCTTTATGCTCTTGAACGCGTGGAAGAGATGTACCATTAATGGTATAGTGGTAACTAATATCGTGCCCGATGTGCATGAACACGCTCTTCCTGGAATTAACTTCCAGGCCCCAATCATGAGCCCATCTAACTAATTCGTCCAAATCATCTTGCAGATGACAACGATCAGCCTCACTTCTTATTGTTCTCCAGATTTTAACATCATCCGCAAACAATAATGTCGACGACTTAAGTAATAAAGGTAGTTCATTAACACACAGAAGGAAAAGTAAAGGGCCTAAGATAATGCCTTGGGGTACATCACTTTTGACCGGTTTCCATTCGGATAGCGTTCCATTGACCCTCACTCTCTGTCTGCGGTCACATAAGAAGCTTCCTATCCATTCCTGTATAGCACATGATATTCCAAAGCTCGAGAGCTTTTGCATAAGACCTAAAGTGTGAAACCTTATCAAACGCTTTGCTAAAATCTATGAATATCACGTCGACTGGCAGGCCGTTGTCTAGGGTAGCTGTCCAATCCTCTCTAGCAATGAGTAAGTTAGTTAGTCATGAACGCTTGTTACGAAACCCATGTTGCTCGGGAGTTAACAGATTGTACGGATCTATGTGACTCAGTAGCTTAGCCCGAATTGATTTTTCAAGTAACTTAACTACTATGCTGGTCAGGCTATCAGGCCGGTAGTTAGATACGATCCGTCTCTGACCATCCTTGAATATAGGACTAACTATGGCGTCTTTCCAGTCTCTAGGTAGTTGAGTGTGTGAAAGGGACATGTTGAAGAGCATCGTGTGCGGTCTTGAGATAATGTCCGCAGGCGATGACATCAAACGTGGGTGTAACCCATTGAGGCCCGGTATCTTACAAGGTTTGAGGTTAGTTATCAAAGGAAGAATAATATCCTCGGTCAAGTGTATAGGTCCTATGGCTGGTATCTCGTTGTCAATGGGACAAGTAGTTGTAACACTACACGTGGAGTAGACTTCACTGAAATCGTTTGCAAATGTCTCAGCTTTCGCTAGATCAGATTCAGCCAATAAATCTGAATTTTCGCTTAACAGTAACGGGGGAATACCATCACTGCGTTTCGTCCGCCTTTTAACGTACGAAAACAGTCGCTTCGGACAGGTGCAACTATCGTATGCCAACTGTCGTTCGTAAGCGGTACGGGATTTAGCTATGGTCTTTTTACATATATTCCGGGTTTTTTATATTCTCACTTAAATGATGCCTGATCTGTTAACAAGAATAAGTCCCGGAAGTGTTTCCTCTGCTTCAACAGCTCCGGGTTTCCTTATTAATCCATGGAGGGCAATGTGATAGATTACATTCTGACCATGGGATAAACGGTTGAGTTACGGATTCGAACGTAGACTTAAACCTATTCCATACATCATCGATCGGCCCATCAGCATCGACCGACCAGTCAATCGATATAGCATAGTCCCTGATTGCCGGAATATTAGCTCTCCAGATATTAGGATGGGGTGGAGCAGATGCGAATTCTATACCATGTATCCGGAACTTAAAGGAAAGTACGACATGATCACTATTCACCAGTGGGGAAAGGTGTTGAATGTCGACGATATCTTCACAGTGGTGTGTGAAGACAAGGTCTATCAATGACGGATTATGTTCCAAGTCAATATGTGTCAGCTTTACGATACATTGTACAAGTGCGCATTGAATAATTGATGACAGAAGGACGCTATCGAAACCCCCACATGGAGCTCTGAGCTCTATCCAGTTGATATGGGGTGCATTGAAATCTCCAACGATGAGACAACATTCTGCCTCACTACAAGAACAGACGTGTCTTAGGATAAAGTCGTCAGCGAGACAACACGGACTACGATATATTCCTCCTATAGTCACTAACTAGTTTCTAGACCTAATTGTGCAGCATACTACCTCATACGTACCACTTACATGCGCCTCCGATATGATCGAGTTTATGCGGAAGTGGTCCTTAACATATAATATTACGCCTCCTCCCTTGCGACTTCTAACTCTATCACTTCTGATACAGATGTAGCTGGAAATGACTGGAGAATACTCTATATCTACAGTGAGCCAAGTTTCGGTGATAACAATTATATCGGGATTTAATTCGTCTACCATCAAACTTAGCTCAGACTTCTTATTCCGAAGACTACGGGCTTTTGTGTAACACACATTTAGGGTGTTTTTGGAGACATGCGTTCTACCCACACAGGTCTCCTAGACTCTATGATATAAACGCAAAGTTCAGTAAAGTCGGCTTACGTTCCAAGCCGAAATATGTGGATTTTATAATATTGCATGGCTGCACACAATAACTAGTCGAAGGTAAGTCCTTATAAAACATTTGTTTGAAGCTGTGAGTATTATTAAATGGGTTCAAGATGCAATTACATCTCAAACGATGACAGAACTATCATCTGTGCCCCGAATTCACGCATGAACTAAGGTGAACCCATTGTACTCATAATCACATGCTAGCATTTCAATTTTTGTCCGCACCTTGACAATATTCATGTACATTTTTACATAAGTATGACTTTTTCGCTTAATACGCTCACCCCTCACATGACACTGTAATTTATCAGGTATTGTACAATTTTTACCCACATTTTGACGTTATCCACATACAGCTTCAGTGTTATTTTTCGAAAACAGACATTTTTTTATAAATGTGCTATTTTCTACAAGGGGGCTATGTAGTATCAGTTTATTTGTTAAGCCCATATACTTTATTCTAGTTACTGGCCAAGCCAATTCGCCTATCCATATATGAGTCATATTTTGATCTTGTTAATCATTTGCTTATTAACCTTGACTATACTTTTATATGAGCATATATGTGTACACTACATATCTTATTCATCGTATGTCTGTCACTCATTTTTGTCCGACTATAAATGTTGATTAACGCTTGCTTAAATCGAGTTGGCTTCCCAGCCATCTCCACTGCATGTCATTTCCGCCTCGTTCGCTTATTCACTCGCTCGTTATTATTCGCTCAGGTGTTGCTAACTTTCTGACCTGAGTTATTCGACAATAAACTGTAGTTGCTGCTATCCTTTGTCTTCTGATTTTACGCACCGTTAAGATTAGAATTATAACGGTTATCGAAGTAAACGATTAACGAATCGCGGCACTACACCATCTGAAAGATTAATTTGACTACGATATACTTCATCTGAGGTCAGAGAATCGTGTCAAACTTGATCTTGAATATGGTTATCGTTCATGTATCATCACGGCGTGCCTTCAATGTATTTTATGTGAAGAGAGAACTGACCATAACCTCCTCTTATTACCATGAACAAAATCACTTTCAACACCGACATATTCCGTAATGATTGCAGTAAGATCCTTTCCTGTTATTAATCATGTTTTGGGCAAGGCAAAAATATTAGGTTTTGATTCTTTCAGCTGGTAGCTTGATTCATATGTATCATTTCAAGGTATGAGAACTTTCGTTTAGCACACATTCAAGGTATTTTGATGATTTCACCAGCTACTCATACAATTATCGTCTTCCACGATCTCATAACTTAAAGACCATACGGCCTTAAGCTTTTCCATTCATCTCACGATTTGTTTTTCAGATCCGCAGCAGTCGTTCTTTATATGCTATCAGTGACTGTGATGTTTAGAAATATTTAAATTACTATACGAAATAGAAGTCTCTGAAATAACTCAATTAAGAAGAAATAGAAGTGAGCACAAAAAACGTAATTTATTTGGAATTCGAATTCAGAAAGACATCAATTACGAAGGAAACATTAATTAATGCAAACTCAGTGACCTGTCCTAGCAAACACGTATATTTCAGGCTTCGATTCGCGTTTATTTTGAATGTTCAGTTCCCTTCCACTATTGCCAATTACGAGATCGCGATTCTTCAAGATGCACCACCAACTGACTTGCCTGACCAATTCATTAACTTCCAGGATGTTTCCGGTAGAACATGCTCGATTGCAGATTCGACTAACAGAAGGTCGTGAGGATTTACCGGCTATAGGTCCTTCAGCGCCTCTAAATCCCATATGGTTAGACTTGCAGAAAACTGGATACTCACGAAATACGTTACTGTCGACCCTTTAGAATGAATAGTCGAAATTTACCCTCCACATGTTTTCAGAGATGAGACAGCCATCCATGAACTTCCTGTGCATCCGTTTGTCATTTTGTAATGAATGTGTAGTATTAAGCATTCTTTGTTTATGTAGTGAGTGAAAGGTGAAGATAAGAGGTTGGAGAGGAAAAGAAATTATGGATCACTGTGAAGGGGAACCGGTTAGTGTGAATGCACATTACCTTTCAGACTCAGCTAGACTTCTGTGTATATGTTTAGTCGTTCAACCTCTACTTGCTGACATGATGGTGTTTAACTTGTTTCACTGGGAATTCCTTGGTTGAGTGATACGCATGACTAGAAATTGAAGTAAGAGGTGGCCGACGAGATCTCGCCATAGCGGCCTCTTGATGTTTCACACTAAAGCACGAGTAAGGTAATTTAATTGCGGTAACATGGGCCACTTTTCGTTCATGCACGTCCTCCTAATACTAATTGAGAACGACCTCAACACTCGAAAGGAATCGTTAAACACTTAGCATCAGTCTGAAAAATTGATTCTAGATCAACTGGACTTAAGTTACTATCAAGAAATTGTAAGTTCAGCAATCACCCAGAAACTCAGATTCCACAGAAAACCCAACTGATCAAGGGCAACAAAATCGATCACGGGAAACACCCTAATCCGAATCATATTGAAGAAGCACGTTCCCGTCACCTTGGGCCCTATTTCAAGAGTTATGATTGATTGTCTCCGATTATTAGCTTCAGTTCACTTGACTACTAATAAACCCCCAATGGAACAAGGGAATATGCTTTGCTATTAGCTAGAAACAAATAATTCACCAAAAAGCCATTGCTAGTGAAAACTCAACACAGAGTAGACATTGATTCTCTTGTAATGGTAATTATCTAGGCAATTGGAAACTAAAATCTAAGTACTTCATATGACCATGAAAAATCATGGGTGAGGGCAGAAAGCAACTTAGAAATAGTAGAATCCTAACAAGAGATGCAAATCATATGTGTACTCCAGCATAAGTTACGCATATGAATGTTTGCAAGTAGTAGTCGATTTACAATCAAAAACTGAAAACAGATTTCCTGGTCTAATGTTGACCAGGATAACACACACCAAAATATTTGACAAGAACAATAGTCATACAAATGTATGTGTCAACATGCTTAGTACTGTTGTGTAAACATGTAGACAAATAAATAAAAGCAGAAACGAAACTGTACATGGCAAAACAAAATGGATTGGAAAATTCCTAGCAATTTAACTGTATCAGTTTGTACGCTGCTATGGTTATTCGAGAAATCGATGCTAATCTTAACAATAAACTTTACTAACGGTGACAATAATCCATTCAACTAATTAATAAATGAAATGTGACTTAGGGAGGAAGAATATATAAATAACACAACAAAGGGAACAAAGTTGGGAGGGATGACAAGACTCAGGAATGCAAACAGTACGTAATTGCTGATTAGGGTCATAGAAAAAAGAATGGTCTATAAACATATAATGATGACCTGGTTTGGTTAAGTCTTCATCATTTATATTTCATTGATATTAATGAGAGTGCATATACATATGCAAAACTATTGAGGTACGCATAAACGAGGAAAAATAAAAAAATCGATATCAACGAGATCATAGTGATTCAAAAATAGAAACTATACACATGGAAACAAAGACTGTGACATTCTATGTGCGTGTGAATGGATGGGCATACAGTTAAGCAAACACACTAACAAATATCGGATTGCTCCCAAAATCCTTTATCGTACCCTTCATGTACGTGATCTAAAAGGACATTTCGGCGACTTTCACAATATCTGGCTTTATCTTGCATTTTCTGTTTTAATTCATTTAAATTGATATTAGATAAATCACGATCTAGATATTCCGATAACTGTTCTGTAGATTGTTCCAAGTCACTTTGATTGCTTTCAAATATTAATGAATGGTTGTTTTTTTTCAAGAAATAAGCAAAAGCATAAGTATACATGAGTGTTCTTCGACAGCGACAAAGAATTTCAACTAATTTTTTGAAAAATTTAACATCTATCCAAGATGTTCCATGAGATTGCATTGTTTCCATTTTACTTTGCACTGTTTCATATAGACGTGCCTCAAACTTCAACGATTGCATATGATTTAAATAACGATTTGAATAAAAAAGATAGCGATCAAGTGATAACCTTGAACTAGCTTGAGCTTCTCTAGCCAATTTAGCAGCAGAATCATCATAACGATTACATGTGTACCATCGTGATCCATGTGGCTCCCAACGATCTAGACACATCCAACAAAATTCATGCTTACAATCAACATTTCGACAGGTCATATGATTACAACCACCATTTTTTTCTATGGTCGCACGACATTTTGGACATTCTTTAGTGTTAGCTGCAATCCAGCCAAGTGTACCGCTATCATTTTCAAGCTTTTTAATCCATGTTCTTAACTGTTCACAGCGAACTGGATCATGCCATGGTTGGCCACAGGCGAAACAGAAGCATTCACCACAGTTAGTACAAGTAATTTGATATGGTTCTCGGGGACCAAAGCAACGCACGGCATGTCCACAGTTAACTCCTGGACACCAAGTTAATGCACGATTGTGGAGAACAAAACTACTAGATATCAGTTTGTGAAAATGCTTGCGTACATTTTGATCAGTAATCATTTGAAACACAACCTCATCTTCAACAATTATACGACAAGTAGATGAAGGACAATATATTCGGTCAATTTGACTTTCTTCCATTATTTTAATTTTAAGATAACGCTGCCAACAAGTTAAACAAAAGTAGTGAGCGCAAGACAATCCAAACATTTGACCTAAATATAGGAAAGCAACCAGAGATTAAATATAACAAATTTCGGGACTTTTTCTGGCTACTAGGAGTTATGGGATTGAGTGATTTTAGAAAACTTTAAAAGGTTTCAAAACCAACAAAGCACAAATTTTATTTCGAAGTAATTTACATTTGGAAAACCATGAATTTTGATAGTTTAATGGCGGTTAACATTGATTGATAGATTTGAAGTTTATTGAAGATAAACTTTAAATTGATTTTTCTGAGTCATTTACCTAAGTATGATCTTTGTCTTATCCGAGAGCATATGTCAATTTAGCGAAGTAATATTATAAACCAACTGCATTCTCTATCCTGGAAACCGTAACAGGTTTAAAATATTTGACCTCTGATTATTTCACTTAATATCATACACAAGATCGCACCCAGCTTTCTATACATCTAAGTTTAAATGTTGAATTGTACTGCAAATACAATAGCAATGAGAAATAAATACAAACAAACCATCATAGAAGTCTATGTAATTGATTTTGCAGTCAGTAACACATAAAGTATTGCCTCAGGTAGTACAGAAGACTAACTTGTGACTATCCTCTTATGGTTTTAAATGAAAAACACAAGTGTTTTTAATTGGATAGCTTGGTATAGTTATTCCTAGGTCCGTGCTATTTTCATATGACCAGATAACTCAAAAGTAGCTATCATTTTATGACTAGTTAAGTGGTGTTCATATAAAAAAAGAAAATTACACAGAAAAAAATATACATAACACAGAAGTTAACTTTATTTGTGAACCTCATGAGTTACCTACACCGTAAGAACTCGAAGAGGAAATCATACAACGCCCATAATAAATCAACTCGGACAAAGTGAATTACACATTTAAGTAAAATTAATTAGATGAATATAGCCTTAGTACCACAAATTGTCGTATAAGGAATAATCAATAAACAGCTGATTAATTTTTAAAAAAAAGTAAATTAGTGAAAGGCTATTGATGATCATAAAATCATATGATGTATATACTAGTTAGAATAAAGTAACTGATGAACTGAAAGTAAACATTTAGGAAAATATGCTTTTTTTCTTTTACAGCACATTATTACATTTTTATTAGGGAGAAGAATAGCAAAAGTCAAATGACATATTTATCATATGCGAACATTAACTAATAAAATCGACAAATCGATCATGATTACATAACAATTAGATCACAGTAGTTCTTTACACTTTTTATCCTAACATCAGTACTATTCTATGATTTACAGTGAACAGATATCTAGTCACATTACAATTTGCATTGTACACCACTTGTCTTGAACAGTCTATATATTACTTGGACAAATATAATACACCCATCATAATTATGCACAAAGTGTTGATTACTTATGATAATGATAATGAAAAATCTTACTTGAAGTAGTTGATAGAAAACATATATCACAAACGACTTCATTTTTCTTTTCACACAAATTCCTTGATCCTGTCACTAAAAATGAAATTTATAAAGATTACATATGTCACAAATTTTAATAAAAAGTTTTTCCTATGATTTCAAGTGATAAAATATTTAGGAATATTTTTAATATCATTTATTGTTCGTTTCGTAAATATGGACTACATAACCAGCAACAAACGGACGTTAGGCAAGCAGTAATAATACAGAGCCTGACCTGGTACAGGTATGTGTTGACCCAAGTTGCCATAAAACATTAACAATGATAAAAAGAACGACTAAACCTTAGGAATATGGTTTGAATAAACAGTGGAACAGTATATGTGAAAAATGGAATTAATTATCGAGAAGATAAGGAGAAAATGTATCTACACTACTATGAACGATTCTGGGACATGTCACTCAAAGTTTAGAACTAATCGCCTTTATTAAGCAGACCACAATCAAGTACTCTGAATCTACTATGACTCAGATGGACAGTCAGTGACTTAATGAGCCGACGCAGTGTCATGGGTTTGGCTGCTTCTACCTTCCTATCAACCTGCTACATCAGCAAGCGTTGCCAGTAAGGGTAGATTATGGTTAGAGATATGTGACACATGTAATAGCTACCTTAGTCGATGAATATATAAAATTTTATCAACTTGGTTCCCTACCTACATTAGCCTAGTACTGTATGCCTAGCCTTAGCACTGTTTACTTGGTCATTCCACGGAACATGAACAATGCTTCAAAGACATCTACGATCAAAAATATGCAGCCTATACATGTCTTCTACTTTTATAGACCACATTTCTGATAAGCTAGGCTAATCAAATATATATATATATATATATATATATATATATATATATATATATATATAGCGGTCTGCTTAAACATTTGGGCTACCTGTTCCTGTCATCTATATATTTAAACAAGTTATTTGATTTTTTGTTTCAATACATCATTATGGCTATTTATCGCACAATCTATTCAGGTGTGTTTCTGAAAAGTGTACAATCTTTCGCTATAAAGGTTACGAAAGGACTATTTAGAGGTATCGTGGTTGCCGGCAATATGCAGAGATGTCGATTGACTGGACTGCTAACTTTTAACTGAGGATTACTCAATAATTATCGTCAGGATCGGCAAAGAAGTAAGAAACGGGGACTTGTTGAAATACTTTTGCTGAGAATTCTATATTGTACCGGAAATATAATATTGAATAAAGCTAATACTAATATATATATATATATATATATGATTCGGTTAGTTAATTAAAGATTTCTATTCACTTTTGGCTTTTCACTCAAGTCCCTGGTTTGTTTACTCATATGATAAGCATATATATCAGTATCAAAATCAGACGACCACAGAATAGTTCCACAAAAATAAAGTAGTGGAGAGAGGACTGTTGGGCTGTACACACACCTTTTGGTCAGCGGACGAACATCTTGTCTGCATCACAAGTTGGCAAACATCAATCGAGGTTTCGGAACCCGTACTGACAATTCAAAATGGTCAATTCATTCAACTGCTTCTCTCCCTACCACTTGTTCAGGTATTGTGGTAGACCGGTCTTTAAGCAAAATCTTGAATCTAGAGAGTGAGAAAAACTTACCCGAAACATGCTTGCTCAATGTGATGAAAAGACTGGATTTTGAGTGTTTTCAACAGACAGGACTATGAATGGATGTTATTAGCGGGTAAGAGAAAGGAAAACTAGTGATTCATCAAAAATAATTACGGTTATAATTATCGTCACAATGGAGTTGAAAAATACACATATATTCATCCTGATGTGATTAGATAAACATCACTAAGTTTTGATCATAGAGTACTCACTACAGTGTGATGATTATCCCAGTCGACTTAAAAAATCAAGTAGTTTTATCAATGCGTGGGATATATATGATATCACTTGTTAAGCGCAAAAACGACTGACGTATGTGAAGATTTATATCAAAGCGACGCAAAACTACTTTTTTGTACTCCTGGACTGATTTGAATTTTCTACTTCACTGTAATATTTTTCTCAAATACAAAGACTGTGAAATAACTTGTTTAAGAAATGAGAGTAGAAACAACTTGGGATTTACGAAGTTAAGTTGCTTATTATATGATAATAATGTTTAACTAAATTCATTTGACATTAGATTAAAACAATTACAAAAAGAACGAAAATAGATAAAATCCAACGGTGAATATTGAGGAAAACAACGTGTACACATTTTGCTTACAATACTTGATTCAACAAAAATGCTAAACAGTAGAAATCTTGCCAGATTTATTATGTTTCTGGTTTTTTATCGAAATATAACATAGTCTAGTCACTCTATCAAGTGTCATACGAATGCCATCCCAGTAACTCCTACACTGCCCATTATTTGCCAGTGCTAAAACCAGATGGGAAAAGTGAAGAGGTGGTCAGCTTACCACAGGTTGCAGTGATGTGGCAGTTAGATGCATAAGATTAGGGCCTGTCAATCTATCATGACTGCCTGATTTTGGCCATAGCGGTAGTGCGATTCAGTTGGTTGATACATTACCAGATATGGCTTACAAGCCATATATATATATATATATATATATATATATATATATATATATATATATATATATATATATAATACTGCAGTATGACCAGTGATGATGCTGCCAGTGTACCATTGAAGTCTTTACACAAATCATATGAAATTTCTTAATTGATCTTTCTTGATTATATCATCCAATCGGACTTGATCTCTCATTACATACTATTAGCATTCATTTATTTATTGGTCTCGACCGTTGCTGCTACCCTGACGTGGTGGTCGGGCTTGCCTATCGTGATGAACCAATCGAGCTATGCTGGCTAAAACAACCATTCTTCAAGGTCCTGCCGTGCCAGGCAGGTCGGTTGGGGAGAGGTAAGACTAAAAGCACCAAACCCAAGGTCCGAATGCTAAGTCGTACTGCTGACTGTACAGAGGTGTGACGGCAGTAAGGTGTTTCCTTCAGATAACCAGTAAATCAGCGATGCTGCCTTCCCACAAGGAGGGGTGAGGTTAGAAAAGGTAGACCCGAAAAATGCACACCTCGCCTTATCCCACGGATATCCGTATCCGGCGGTAAGGTCAAAATTCGAAACGGAACCAACTATTTAAACACTTACGTATCATCTAGTGCAGTTTAGAAAAACGATAACTTTAAAGTGAAAGGCTTTGGTTGACAGAATTGATTATATTTCTGCTGTACAGTTACTGAACCTCTGATGGGTTGTGGTGAGCGTTACAAATACGCATGGATTAATGACCGGAATTAATGTGAGTTAAGTGCATCTAGCTGGCAAGTTTTAAATAAGATGTAACACTTGTCTTCAATCTTACTGGTAGTCCTTATCAAATACTATTATAATAGACAGAACAAGACTACAGTGAAGTCACTAAAGTACAGATATTAGAACAGCTTACAGTTTTTAGAATCGATAAAACCAAGGACTAGATGACCCTCAATAAAACAGTTTATTTGAAAATTACTAGATTTCTCTCTAACAATTATTAAACTATCCACACCACCTATTTTTTATTACCTGACGTGAGAAATATTTTATGGAGACAAATGGGTATACTATTGAATGACTATATGTGCAGTCTAAAAGGAATGAATGGTTGTAAAACCACAGATCTATGGTATATTTCAATAGTTTATTTGTGATCAGAGGGGGAAGAACAATTACTCTATTCATGCTTGATGGTACATTCCATGCTCCTGAATCCTACTGTGGTTAGTGATAGTTAAATAATACTCTGGTAAGACTTCTATAATTTTAAAACGACATATATAGCACTCTTATTGCATTAAATCTTGTCAGTCATGCCTCAAATTCATAAAACGGTTCACCAACGTTGTACTCGGATACAGATGAACAAACAGATGTCACAATGTAACAATAAATATGATAATTTAGTGGAAGTAACTCATGCTTTCTAACTTGGTCACTTGTTTTCTGCCTGAACATTTATTTAAGAAATCAAGTCATTCAAATACTTTACTAGCAATCGAAACATAAATCAAAGGAATGTGTAAGAAAATCAGGGTTTGAACATGTCAACTTGTGATTGGAGGTCACGCACTTCAATCAATTAACCACTGGATTACAGCATTTTTAGCGTAATAACGACAGGGTATGTTAGAATGTCAGATCAAAACTGAGTAGTTACATCTTACCTGGGATATCCATAGGATCTACAATACCTGTTTGAGCAAAAGTATCTGCTTTACCGTGTTCAAAATAAAATTCCATTAATGCATCTTTATCCCATTTAAAATGAGCAAGCAATAGTCGTAAATAAGTCGGAGGAATCTGAATTATTTGTTCAACTTCTTTGGTAATATCAGACATCAACTGTGATAATTGGTTGGGATGTAATATCTAGAAATAGTTGGATAAGATTAGTAAAATGACAGTAAACTTTCTAGTAATATTTGTAATGGACGAAACGGCTTAAGGAATGCATAATTTATCTTTTAAAAAGAAAGGACATCTATGAAATTGGCACCATTGAAGTGAATCAAGCTTAAAAACAGTCATTGCTTTATTCAAGGAATACTGATTGTCAAAATAACTTCGTTCACGTAAACAAAGTACATATACACAATAAGTCATCAGGTAGTCGTCTATCCTATATGTTGATTGAAGAGTTTTGATTGTTTTTTTGCCAATATACTGATGGCTGAATTCGGTGTTTGACATTACAGACTGATGGTTTTAACATTCGACCATCTATACTAAAAGAAAGGAATTGGAAGTACGTATTGAAGACAAACGTACAATTCTAGTGACTCATAATGATATTCACTTCCATACCTGATTATGTTATCTGGTATGTAGCCTATGTCTAATATTGTGATTGAAAATGTATTGTGTAAGCAATAGCTAATATTTTTGTAATGGTCAGTTGTTTAACGATATTGATCGAATTGGAATTTAAGAGCTACGTTCTGTGATTAATCTTGTCAACGTAATGAACTCGGTCAAACAACTAGTCATATATCCTTTCAGCAATCTATTAATCAATAGCCAAATAGTAAAAGCATCACACCTGTAAGAATCTTTTGATACAAGCCTCAAGATTTAACAGTGATAACTTTACCTATCACAGTAAGCTGAGATAAAACTCACCCAGGAATAACGAGAATCTTGACAGTTTATTATTCAATAGAGAATGTAGCTGACTTGCTTAAGAACTCCACATTTAAACGGCAGGGTATATATTTAAATAGTTTCATATATTGAGGTCCTCGTATTCGAATGATATTACCAGATCTTACATAAAAAACATGATTTAGGATATGGTGGTCAAGATGCACTTGGATAAGCTGTCTTTTAATCGATGGCCTAAAGTACTATGGAGGAATCCTATGAGTCCCTATAGGTCTAAAAGACTTTGAAAGAAGAAGGGATTTATGGGCTGAAACTATTTGATCATAGGAACGCTCGAACTTTTACTTGTTTTGTAAGATGATATAATAGCCAATCGTGGTATTAAGCTCATAGTGTTGAGCAAAAGTTGTAAGTAGGTTAAAAAATGGACGGTTTTGGCAACGGAGGCGACGAGGACATATATTACAGGTACACTGACGCTGCATTCATTAGTATACTATATTGGTTTGGTTAGAAGTTTAAAATGTAAGAACAAGAAACGACTAGAGCAAGGCATATCCTCAACTTTTTGTCTCTGATGTACAGTAAGGTACATGTTTATTGATCCCCATTCACGAGATAATCGTAATCTGTGGTTGAACATCGTAGTTGTCTAAAATCAGTCTTAGGAAAACATGTAAAATGACCTATTATCTTTCTCTGAAGCTTGGGATTATTTTATACCTTTTATCTTCCAAATTCATTCGTTGTTTTTAGACTAAATTTCTTGGTTTTTTCTTCCATTACTGCTGAATATGTTTTTAATCATTTGCTTTTTAATTTGTCGATTCCATTTCACTGTATTGATGTGAAGCGCCCCCAAATGCCCTGATACGGCCGAGAGTGGGGAGAGTCCGCTCTCCCTCTCGAAATGCTCTCACATGGCCACGCGAATATATAGCCTCTGCCAGGGAAGTCCTACTAACTGCCTTCTCGTGGCAGGGGTGTTGTTTACGAAATTGAGAGGACGAAAAGCGAATGTCAGGCACTTTAACCGGGTTGGTGGATGTGGAGTGTCCACCTAGGGGAGTTGGAAAACCCTGATTCCAAACCCATGGTGAACATGGGCTCCAGTATCCTGAGGGAACAAATGGCGTATGAATCAATCGTTGGTCACCGGCTACTATGGGACTGCATCTTCTCACGATGCTCCACTGTCTTGTGGACTGGACCTTCAGGTCGAAGGCTCGGGGTGTGGCCCCCTAAGGAAACCACCTGCTTCAGTCTGGGTACCTGAGCAGTATCACAGCCCTCACACAAATCAAATGAGATTTGTGCGACGCATATTTATCTGGTGCTTCCTTGTACCAATATTTATGTGTTTTAATAAATAAATAAAATAATGAAGCGTATTAAATTGGAACGATACATGTGTATCACCTACGGTTATTACTACCACAAATAAGATGATTTCATTATGTAATTCATTTCATTTTATTTTAATTTGTACTATCACTTTGTGTGTAAACAAATATAATACTAAAATTTTACTTGTAGCAAACAAGTCCTTTACATTTACCTCATATTCTAGTGAATCCTCTTCACGCGACTCGGTAGTGGTATATGGAACATCTAACAAATTCACAAGTTCATCGTTTTCACCTGAATGTACTGAATCATCTAGTGATATATCAGAATCATTGAGTTCTTCATCCATCAGCTAGGTAAATAAAAGAAACTGAAGTTAAAATACTACATGATCACGTCACGATTACCTTTTGACACACGGGATGAGACATCATTATTTAATTGTAAGAAATAAAAACATATTACTTTTATAGTTCTAAAGTTATGGATTTGTCTCAGTTTGTAGATGTGCCAGGTATTTGTGCAAGAAATGTGCAACAGGAATTATTAAAACCAAAAAAAAACAAATGGTTAGAATGAAAGACGGAAGGATGGTGATTAAGCAAACACTGATAAATGTTTTGCTTCTTTAAAAACAGCACAATGATTATAAGATGGTTAGTGACTCTTGGTGAGCAATATTGGCCAGATAGGATATTAACATGTGACTGGGACGTTAGAGACATAATATTGAGTTGAAGTACAGATACCTTTCATTATCTTGCAGCAACGTGAGAGGAACCCTGAAATGAAGTTGTTAGTCCTTAGTAGAATAAAAATGGCAGCTAACGTGATTGAAAATTAACATAATAGATTTATTTATTTATTTAAACATATAAATATTGGTGCAAGGGGGCACCAGATATACATGCGCCACACAAAACAATGAAAATGGGAAGAGAAAGGGATAAGATGCATATAAAAAAGGGTAATGGTGAGGGAAACTGAAATGTACAACCAGAAGAACTCTCTCAGTTAAAGAGGTTATGAACACTCTTTATGAAGAAAGTAAAAGAAGGTTACAGCAGGATCGCCACTGGCTTCTATTCTGAGCCATATTTGATAATGTCTCTAGCCACTGTGTAGCACCATCTCTCGGACCCCAGCCAGAGAGTCGTGAAGGACCAACAGAAGCTAGCCCTTTGCAGCTTTCTTTCATACCACGACACCGTTTCCTACACTGACCTCCTCTCTCCTTTTTCCAACCAGTCTCAGAGTCGGCAAATAATGCACGACGTGGAAGTCTCTGGGATAACATTCGTAGAACATGTCCAAGCCACCGAAGTCAGTGTTTCAAGATGGTGACACCAATTGGATTATCGTCTCTGCGACCGAACAGACGATGCCGAACCTCTGCATTACTAACATGGTGTTGCCACCGGATGTCAGCAATCCTTCGGAGACAACGATGATCAAACACAGAGATGTCTAACATTCTCAACTCGGAGAGGCCAGGTTTCACAAGCATAGAGCAAAACTGCTCTCACTGACGCGTTGTAGATCCGACCTTTTACAGCCAGACTAACATCACGAAGGCGCCAAAGATGGCCCAGATTGGCATAAGCCGCTCTGGCTTTCATTATACGTGCATCGATCTCATCACTCACGCCACCACCAGCACTTATGTAGCTACCTAGATACACGAACTTCTCAACTACTTCAATCTGCTCACCATCCAGGGTGAGTACAGGATGAGAATCCTGCCAGTCTTGTAGGAGTTTTCTGCACTTGGAGGGTGCACAGCACATACTGTACCTGTGGACACTGATTGCCAACTGATTAAGTGCGGATTGCATGCCTTGGGCATTATCGCACAGTAAGACAGTATCATCCGCATACTCAAGGCCGAGAAGTCTTTCTCCAGGCGGCAGATCCACACCGCCATTACTTACATCCATCAGAGCTGTTTCCAGAATGTCATCGATGGCAAAGTTGAAGAGGAATGGTGAGATTGGGCAACCCTACCTAACCCCACTGCTTGAATGGAACATAATAGAACTCTGGTAAGTATTACTTAAAGAAGAATCATAGGTGAAACTCAGTTGAGCTTAGTTTGTTACCAAATACACGGTTAAAACAAGGAATATGAAGCATAGATTCAGAAGCTATCATGACAGCGGCCAACTTGAAATGGAGGAAAATAACATTTACTCATAGGGGGTCTACGGATTTTATTAAATATCACAGTTTAAGGATACTAGTTTAGCTCGTAAAAGCGATGCCCAAATCACGGAAGCAAAATAATTTTCACTGACTAGTGAGATTAATGAATGCAAAAGTACATACAAAACAAATTTGGAACATGGTAACGATATGCAAACCGATGTGACCAACCTAACTTCGGTTAGAAAAACTTAGCATACCAGTAAAACTGAGCAGATCATAAACAGCTTAGAAGCATGAATTGTAGTGATGGAGCTTTGTAAAAAATTCTATACTGCAGACGAATCTCTCACTGTTAGGATGATTTACGCTCACTTAGGAGTGGCATTCAGATATGAAAAAAGGGTTTATGTCCTTGTTTTGGGAGAATGTGTGAGGTTTAGTTGTACGGACTACATGTTGAAAACGAAGCAGATACGAAGGTTTGGAAAAGGGATATACGAATCAAAAACCCAGTACTTTACCCACCAAGCTACTCCTTAGCAACGCCATGACAGAAAAATTGATATGGGATATAACTTCAATTCAGCTCATCAATTAATATCTGGAATTAATTGCAAAAGCAATGAATACCAACAAAGATCCCTGGTATCCACACAGAAAGGTGTATTTCATCCCCATCTTAGGAAATACAAGGATTAAGGTATTTTCGGATTCATTGTCTATCTTTGTCGAAAAAAATTGATGCAGAATAACACCTTAACAATCTAAAAGTATTGTAAACGAAAGCACTATAATGTACTATTGCAATACCACATACCAAATAAAATGGCCTGACTAATTAAGTAGTTTTTTCTCAGTGGTCGTAAATTGTTTCTACATCTTTCCGTGGGTCAAGAGCGATATATGGTAATGTTCACATTTTGAAAAAAAACATTTGTGGGTTGTATGATAAATAGGGATTCACTATGGTCCAACCTGTTACATTTCCCCTCTTAATATATCAGTTGCCAAAGCAACCACTTTTATGAGGGTGAAACTCAGAATACACCTATATGGTGAGAAACATAAAAGTTGGACAATTGCATCCAACAGTCCTACGACATGTCACAAGGCTGTATGATCACAGCATTTAGGTTCAGAAATAATAGGGTCACTCAGTGCACAGATTTACGCGTTGAAACTAGTGGCAAACTTAAAGTATGAAGGCTCATGATATTACAGGGGCACATGGACCAATTGGACCACATTAATGTGGTCGGAACCTGACACCTAGCTAGGAGTTATATGTTAAGACCAGTCTAGCACTTCTGAATTTAGGAAGGATCGCAGTTACCCTCATATCTAGTGGACGGAAGATAAATTGCCATAATGGAAGCTAAAGCTCTACTTACACGAATTGCAGGACTATTTTGACATTATAAATAGAACCACTAAGATGTAAAAGATCACTGAAAATAGTCAAAAAGCATAAGTAGGCAGTTTTATAGAATGTGAACTATGGAAACTATACGAAAACGGTCTTTAAGAGGATTGCTAAACAATTTTGGGAACCTTTTTACAAATTACAGACGGCGGATTAAATTTACCGGGATGGCAACAACCCACAAATTTGAAAGTCACTGAAAGAAACAAAGAATATTCTCAGATTATGCTTCAGTGATGAGATATGAACTATCTGCACTCATTTTCAATAAGTAATAAAAAACGGGTGAGTCATTGGTAAACGTTTTGAATTTACCATGGTGTATATCCATGGTATGGTGTTTAATTCATAACATTTGATCTCAGTTTAAAAGATTGAGTTGATGAAGGCCTACAACAAAATCCATGAGTTGTGAAAACATTCCTAAGAAGACAACCGTAGTGTGTTTTTAACTTGTAGCAACCTCATGTAAAAACCCTTTGAACACATTATTCGGCTCTTTACAACTATAAATTAAGATGTTTTACTTGTCTGTTCACGGATTCATCAGAAAAAATTTACATATTTCCTTTAAGTTTGATGCCCATGAGATTGTCAGTTTGGTCCGTAGTTAGAATATGCATTTAATATAATCTTCCATGGAACCAATAATGTTTCGCGGATGTCAAGTGTTTCACAACGCTGTTTTACGTAGCTTCTTTATATCAAAGGATCTCAAATCCAGTTCAACTGGAAACCGAGAACAAAGAGGTTCGAAGAAATATCGGGATAATTGTCATTGCGTCGGGATATTCATCATCCTAGCTGATTAGTTTCTGTGAATGGTGTGCACCAGAGGTTACTAATTCGTGATCTAATATGAATGTTCGGTCAAACACCCTCACATATGGTGTGTCCAATAAATCTAGTATATTCAACATTAATGTCGAAGACGTACATAATTATACGTATATATATTCATTTTTCGTCTTTTCTGATCTTCCTGAAAAAAATCGAAAATGTGAATACTTGTCAAAAAAACATCTATTTTTGCGTACGCTAGCAAACTATGGGAAAAAAATGCTGTGAATAAACATTGCGACACTGAAAAAATCCAACACGAAATGGTTGCTTTTGTGCTTTTTTGCGGAAAAAAATGTAAATATATCGAATTATTAGGTTTGCTTATCTTTGACACAGTGAAAACATCATGTAGAACAAGGGAACCAGAGTGAGAAGAGATAATCTGAGAAAATTCACAATATGTGACAGTCATTCTATTTGGATCCTCATATCCCTTTCAGAGTGTGTTATTTTGTATCGCTTATCAGATACTGTTGACATTTTGTTCTGGTCGTTAACTATAGGAAACTGCCTTAGGCATTCGGAATTTGACAACATCTTTACACGCAACATCTTTATGATCGAAGTGCATGTGGTGTTTGAATGAACCAATGATTTCCTTGTATTGACAACCGCTTGATTTTGAGCTCCAAATACAGCACATTTGTTCGTGCTTATCTAATACTTCTTGATTAAATTGGTGGGATTATTAGTTCATACTACAATTCAAATACTCTTGAACATTACAGTGCGCCAACCCAGTACGGTCGGAAGTCAGAGGTTAGAAGGTTTGAAGTTATACTTGAATGTCTGTCGATCTCTTGAGAAGAGTTGGATATAAGCCGGCTAACGGCGTAGCAGTACATACCTACTCGTGATCTGTTGTGGATGCGTGACCGAGTGCCTTCAGCTTGGTGAGTCTAGTAAAACTAGTGAGATAAGCATCAAATGTCGAAGACTTACATGGCCATTTATTTTGGGGATTTTTTTTACCGCTACATATCGTAGTTGTGGAGATTCTGTAGTTAGATTATTAAGTGTGTGAGTTGATATAAGGGGTCGCCTTTCGTGTAAATAGCTTTAAACCGACCGGTTCTGGTGTCTTATTTAGTTCCTTTCTTATTGTTGGTACAGTAACTACGTTCACGACGAACTGTGTTTAGTCCTTCTTATGCAACGTTAAGCAGTCAAAACATTGTGTGTATTTGGCCTTCCCGTATTATATTACTAATTACGATAGGTGGCTGAGCAGGCCTTTTTAGTTAAAAAGGCATATTAATTTGGTTGAGAGCATCGACGTTTTGAGGAAAATCGAGGTGACAAAATTCTTCCCTTAAACATTTTTAAAATGTTTTATTTATTCTTTATTGGCGGAAACATGAAGCTCGAACGTTGAACTGTTTTACTTGTATTATGTACAAGGGTCTTTATTTGTGTATGCTTCATTGTACTGTCTGAGAAAGCAATACGTCTAGCATATATGAATATGAACAAGACAGTGATAGAAGTTTAACGATTATGATATTTCTTTTGACAAGAAGGGTTTAAAAAATCAAGGTTGCCATGATACTGATGATGCAACGGATATTCTAGTTTTACAACTAGATACCAGTAGCACCTTCTAAATTCGGTTGTTACCAGTCAGATAGAAATCAGAAGTCGGACGAGAATAGGCAGGAAAGATATATTTGATTCGTTACCAATATATCGAGGACCTTTTCTATGAGCTGGCTAATGAAACGTAGGAGCTGTGTCCCACGCAGTATTGAAACGTGATCTGGTGCGGATGCATGACCGAAAGCCTTCAGCTAAACAAGTCCACTTAAACAACGTGGTCAGCATCCAATGTCGAACACTTAATGAGCTATTGATTTTGGGGAATTATTTACAGCTACAGATCACTCCCCCCCTAGTGAGGTAGTGATGCCCCTAAGACGTGACCAGCCAGAAGTTTAAACCCAACGAATTTGTCGTTGGTAAACACTCTTCTGATAGCTTGCTTCGTTTAGCAGCGTCTGGTCGTCTTTCCTTAAACTATGGGACCAAAATGTACAACGTAGCAAATAAAGAAATAAAGTACAATGAAAATTTCTGTTCCTTGCGAAACTTCGTCGTTCTTTTCCAGCCGTCCTGGAAAAGAGGAAAAATAAAACGTGTGAGCGCATGTCAAAAATACACTCGTACTTGCGTAAGGACACAAGATGAGCGGAAAAAAATAAACTGATACACTTACAAACAGCGTAAAAGCGATCGGAAAAAAGGTTTTCTTTTGAGTTTTTTTTTTTTTTAATATATAAAATATATATATATATACGTTCAAAAAAAAATGTTTTTTTTTACATAAATAAAAAATGAGCATATTAAAAAAAAATTTATAATAAACGTTGAAAGGGTAATTCCAGATAAAGCTTATGTCCTACGTGCAATATTCGTTAAGATGTTCTGGAAATCTTACTCGTCTTCCAGAACGCGTTGTTTTAGGTTTTTCTATCGACGTTGACGAAGTATCAAGTTGTGTGTCGGTTGTCGTGTGGGGTACTACGAGTGTAGTAGCTGTGTCGTTTGCTTGTACCGAAGGAAAATCGACGTAGCTAGGGTTTCCTTCTAGGTACGCAGCTTTGAGTCGATCGATACTGATGCTATCTTTCGTACCGTTCTTATCGACTACATAGTACTTAGGTTCGCGTTGAAGAACTTTGAAGGGTCCTTCGTATGCTGATTCGAGGGGTCGTCGATGTGAGTCTCGACGAACGAAGACGTGTGTACTATGTCGTAATTCGGGTTGAACGAAAACATCAGTTGATTGAGGTCGAGTGTGAGCAGGTTTAACTGAACGCATAGCGTTTGTAAGCCTACTCGTGTAAGAGTTTAGATCCATGTTCAATGAAGAAGCTGAAGGATCCACGAATTCTCCTGGGAGTCGGAGTGTCGTTCCGTAAACGAGTTGAGATGCCGTGTATCCAATGTCAGCTTTCACTGCATTGCGGATACCTAGCAAGACGAGTGGAAGAGCGTCTGTCCACTGTGAAACGTTTGAAGCTGATAATGAAGCTTTTAATTGTCGATGAAAACGTTCTACCAACCCGTTTGCTTGTGGGTGGTAGGCGGTAGTTCGGAAGCGCGTGATTCCTAAAAGTGTGGTCAGACAACGGAAAAGTCCAGATTCGAACTGGCGTCCGCGGTCTGTAGTGATGGTTGAAGGGCAGCCGAAATTTGCTACCCATCGTTCGACGAAAGTGCGAGCCACTGTTTCAGCAGTAATGTCCTTAATCGGTACTGCTTCTGGCCATCGAGTAAAACGGTC